ATGGATATTGATTAATACACAATTCCAACTTGGTCCTATATTGATTTATTACTGTAATATTTTTACAATGTCTGGAACTATTGTGTAATGGTTATATTTGACCACTGAATAAGGCCATATGATTGAAATGTATGTGGCCAGGGTCACATAAGGTCTTTGTTTGAGTGTATTGTATGAGCCTATATTAGGGCCTTTAATAGTTTTTAAAAATATTTTGTAAATAAATACTGGTATTTTTGTATAACTGTTCTATATCTATATCTTATATTCATTTTCTTTAACATTGGGCCCATTAAATTGGATTCATTTAACTTTTTAGGTCTTGAACATCACCCTATTACCTTACCCTTTTAACTGGGAAGGCAGAGGATGGAACTTAGGACCTTCTACAAACAAAGGAGAGGTTCTCCTGCTGAGCCATGGCCCTAACATATTTGCTCTTGCTTTCATGCTCATCTTCTCTTCCAGGAGGGTATTTTATACATAAAGATGGGCAAGATACCCTTTAGGGCCCTCCTACCAGCCTGAGATCCAAAAGCACCTTGCACTGCTGCTAAATGGCTCCCTGGCTGCCCAAAAAAGAGCCAGCCAATCAGCACTCTGCAGAACCAACATCTCCTGGAAACAAACTTAGTTTGAATGTCGACCTCAAAAATAGCTCTACAGCAGGCTCTTGTACAAACTGCCTAAGGCCTAGGGCACTGATTCTCAACCTGGGGGCCTCAGCTATTGCAAAGGGGTCTGCAAATCCTTATGCACACTAAGCATTGTCATTTGGGTTATCATTCTGTTTTTTCTCAAACAGATAATAAGAGTACAACTACTCATCAGGTGGGGCAGTCTTTGAAAATTTTTGATGGAAAAAAACAGGTCCCCATACTTGAAAAGGTTGGGATTGGGAGCCACTGGCTTTTTACTGCAACATTTAAGAAACACACACATACATTTTTTATTTCAAAGTGGAACCAGAAGCAACCTTTAGAACAGCAGACAGACTTGCCAGTATTTACAAAGCATAATCTTAACACCTTCTTACCTGCTCTTATAAATCCTTTGCTCCTTTGTACATTGGAATGAACATTGTATTTTTTGTTTCCAAAAATGCAGAATCTTGAAAAGCATCCATCTACTTGTCAAGGGCAAAATAGGATTCGGTGATCCAGGGCTCAGTAAGCCTTCACCCTCCCAACCTTTCCAAATGGTTCCCTTTTGACATAGCAAGGTTCTTGTGCAAGAAAAAGATGCCCACAATACTAGAAGATTTCCAATCAGTTCCAAATCAGAGTTCCATCACTATGTCTACTATGTCTATTTACAGTTGAGTGCAAATTTAAGGGGGAGAGGAAAAGAGACTGAATACCAGAAGTTATTGGTTCAGAAATTGATGAGAGGACAAGAGAATGCCAAACCCTGCCAACCGTATGAACTCTTGCTCAGCAATAGGAACTGTGTACAGCTGCACCACCTCCTGTGCGGGACCCACCCCCATAAGGCTTCAAAAGCCTCAACTGATCTTTTGGTTTGTGATACACATGGAGGAAAGAGGAAGAGAAAGAAAACCACATTCCTTTTCTTTCTATATCCCCTGCAATAGTGGGTAAAGTTATGTATATGAAGCTCTGGATCACAGGGACCGTTTTTATTGCCAATGTCTAACCTTGCATGTATGCCACAAGGCAAGCAAATGGTCACAAGCAACTTATAGAAGTTAGCCCTTGAAGTGGTACAACAGAAGTAGGAATAGGAATGCCCCTTCCCATGCAGGAGAATGTGTGATGTTCTTCCAGAAAGAAAGCAGAGAGGGCACTGTAAGAGCAACAAAGACAAAGGAGAAACAAGTTCTCTAAAAAGAGGTAATTGGGCTCAAATAAAAACTGTTTTGCCCTCACCTGCATATATCCTAACTATACCGCTAAATAAAGTTGCCTTATCTAGAGCAGCAGCCTGAATAGCCCGTGCTCATCAGAGCTTGGAAAGCTAAGCAGGGTTTGCCCTGGTGATGGGAGACCACCAAGGAAGTCCAGGGTTGCTATACAAAGGCAGGCAATGGCAAACCATCTCTGGCCCCGGTCACACGGGCCGGATATCACCGGGGGGGGGGGGAGGCGTGGCTAATTGCATGGCCGCCCGAGCACACGTCCCGGTCGAGGTCCCATGGTTAGGGGGGAGATGCCGACCAGATGGGTATCCTGCAGCGCAGCACAGAAGCCGCGCCGCGCGATCGCACTAGCAATCGCTCTTTGTGCGCATGCACTGTTGGGCGCTGTTGTGCAACCTGCGGAGACTTGGGAGACAAAAAACCCCCTTGTGTGCGATGAACAGCGGCAGGCGCCGGATGCCACGTAAGTCTACCGGAAACGCGATCAGACGCCCACCCTTGCCCCACGGCTTCCAGAAACTAGTACCTCAGAGGTACTAGTTTTTTACTCCGCATCTTCGGCAGGAAGCCTCGGGAGCTCTATGCTTCCCAGATGTTGCGGTGTGATCGCACCCGGAAAATCCGCCTACCATCCGTATCGTCAGTGCGACAAATGCGCCGTGTGTCCGCAGCCTCTGTTCATCTCTTTGTCTTGAAAGCCCCATGGTCCTGGGATCACGACAAGCTGCTTGTGACTTGGTGGCACACAATTATGTTTTTATATCTTCATTTTTTTTCTTGCAGCAATACTACTGGATGCTTGGTGAGCAGTAGTTACATACAGAATCTTTAATCTTGCTACACACTGCTCTGTAGGGAGGCCAAAAGGGCCTCTCCTACTGGGGGGGCGGGGCGGGGCGGGGAGAATGTCCGATGAGACAAGAAAACTTAAAATAAACCCCAATTTAAAACAAACACCTCTTTGACCTTTGTAAAATTTCTTCTAAGCAATGCCAGCTCAAAAAATAGTCAACCAATTCATTCATCTGATTACGTGAGCTCTGACTCTCAAAATATTTTTGCTGGAATAAATGTTAGCCTTTAAGATGTCACTGGACATCTGTTTAATTTAGGGCTGCCAAATGCAGCCGGGGGGCGGGGAATCCCCCGTTTCGGAGCCCCGATTCCTGGCGCGCCGGAATCGGGGCCCGGGGGAAACCCCACCCCCGCGTGCGCGTCACCCGGAAGTGACGTCGCACGCTGGGGGCGGAGCCACACCATTTGAGGGGAAAACAAAAAGTTTTTCCCTCAAATGGCGCGCGTGACGTCACTTCCGGGTGACGTCCTGGCGGCGCATGCGCGCAAAGCACGCGCGCGCATCCCCCAGCAGCTCCAGGAACGGCCGGACGACCCCCCGCCGGTAAGAACTTCGGATTTGGCAACCCTAGTTTAAATACTTTATTTTGGTGTAATCCCTAAAAAATGAACCTCCTGATACGAGAAACATCCTGACAATAGCTTTGCCTTTTATTTTAAATCAAGTAAAACAATCTTTTGCTTAAAATAAAAGACAGCATAGGATCTTCCAACCAGACTTCCTCTGAAAGGTTACTTACATCCTGGTGGGGATCAGGTAGAGAAGCTGGGCAGAGTCAATGGGTGGGGTTTGCATTTTCGGCATGCAATGAAGATTTTAGTCTCTTTCCTTACACAGTATGTAAACTTCATTGTTAAAGACACCCCCTACACACAGCAGAGATAATTAAGGAATATAATTAGCTGAGAGGAGGGCAGAGAGGGAGCACACCTAGGAGGGCTGCTGTTTGTGCTCTGCCATGCAAGGTGGACATGTTTCATTTTAACACTCAAGCAGTATTGTGAGAAAACAGATTTATTGGTAGACAGCTCCATACAGAGCTCTTCTGTGCAGTTGCAAAATTTTAAGGCTTGTGATTGCACTTGAGGTGGGTCATTCAGACAGAGCTCTCAATTTTTATCTCAGCTCTTTACCATCTAGGATAAATTCAGGGGGAAAAAATACTGGTAGTTATGCACCGTTGCAAAGCTTAAAAACAAGCAAAAAAAATATAGCAGGCATAAAGGACATCAGTTTGGATCAAGACCTTGGCATGATGGAAGGGTTCATCTTCCCCATCCACACTGTCTTACCAACCTGAAATAGTCTTGCAGGGCTGTTATTTGCTCAAATGGAGCAAACTTGTATGAGAACCTCCACAGGGCTGATTCAGGAAAGGAAAACTGGCATGAGAAAACATGCCTCCTCCTCCTCCTCCCAGTCCCAATCAAAATTGAGGACTTGCACACGGCAAATATTAAAGAAACAACAAATGCTCGAAAGCTCTGTCCATTAACTCACTAGTATGTCACCTGATTTGGCTCTTAAAGTAGAGGCAACAAGACTCTGAGACAGCTCTAAAAGAGGTGTACTTGATCTCTATAATTCAGGAGTTTCTCTGGCACACCTGTGCTACACATTTCAGCCATTTCCAGCTAGCTTAATCATCTCAGCTCCTAGCCAAGGAATCCTGGGAATTGTAGTTCTACAAAGGAACCGGGGGTCTCCATAAAGACAAACCTTGCCTAATTGACCTGCACCCAAACCAACTGGTTTGGGGTTTTTTTTAGTCAGCAGCTTCATGGAAAGAGGCTAAAGTTTAGATGTGGCTTAAAGTCCAATTCACCATCACTTGCTCTCTAGATGCAGTCCACCCAATGCACAGGTAAGGTACCTTTGGCAAATAGTGTTCAAAGAAATCACAGATGTGGATACAAATAATCAGTTACCAACCACCCGTCATTGCAAGCTGCATGGATGCCTCTGCAGCAGGAGTCCTTAGATCTTACCTCTGGAACGATTAGACATGATCAAAAAAAACAAAAACCCATCGTTCCAATATAATCTACAGCTGAAAGAGCAGAAAAGTGATCCAGGAAGTAATCCGCAAGGCACCAGAGCTGGTCATCCGAAGGCACGTTTGAAGCAGAATTGAACTTAGAAAGCAGCAACAGGATCAGGGCAGTAGTCAAAAGGCACAGCCAAATCCCAATATCCTCTTCCTGTTGTATTGCTTCTATGGTACATCTCTTCCACCCACATGCAATACAAACAAAATATGGTGGCAGCATATGCATCATTTACAAAACGGAGAGCCTGCGGCAGGCAAGGGGCTGGGCCTTGCTGTGTGCACGCTCCCAAGGTCCATCCTCCCAGTAATATATTTAAGTAGCGGAGCCCCCGAAGATTCAGTCTCTGTGTCCTGGAAAGAGGACCCTCTGCTCAGTGGAGACCCTTGGAGAGACAGAGAGAGAAAAAATGAATATTGAATTCTGTGCACACAGGATGCAGAACAAACGCCAGGAAAAGTTTATCCTCTAAGCCAAGCTGGAACACTATGCTATAACCAGAGCTTTACATGAATTGAACTTAAAGAACTCAAATTCTGTGCAGACAGACCGCTTTAGAAACTGAATTATGATCTTTGAAGTACATCTATTTTGTCTGCCTGAATTCCTCAGTTTTACATGATCATATGAACTTGCTTTTACCAGGTCTATTTAGCTCTGTACTGTCTCTTCCATTGAGAAGTGTCTTTCCAAGGTCTTGGGCATCTCAGCACTTGCTACCCCACCCTTTAAGTGGTAGGTGCTGGCATCTTCTGCATGCAAAGATGCTCTTGAAGCCCCACCTCAAGAACAGAAGTCCTGCTCTGCCCTCTTAAAATTCCACCCCACTTATCTTCAGAGCAATAATGGCTAGAAACGCATTTTTAATTCAAAAGAATCTTGTGCTCCTTCAGTGCAATTGTGGAGGTCTGGAAGCCTTCACATCCCTGTTTGTAATTCATCTGAGATTCCACGTACGACCAAAGAACTGCACCCAGCCATTCTGGCATCAAGCTGAGAGAAATATAGCTCCACTACAAGCTAAACTAGAGGCTCGTTAAAAGTGTGGTTAAAGCAGGCTTTGTGATAGTCACTTGAGCTAAGGGTTGCCAGCTTTGGGTTGGGAAATATCTGGAGATTTGGGGGGTGGAGCCTAAGGAGGGTGGGGCTAGGGGAGGAGAAAGACCTCAATGGGGTATAATGCCATTCAATTCACCTTCCAAAGCAGCCATTTCTCCAGGTGAACTGATCTCTGTTGCCTGGAGATCAGTTGTAATCCCAGGAGATTTCTGGTCACCACCTGGAGGTTGGCAACCCTACTGGAGCTCTAAAAGCAAAGGCCACATGGGGAAAAAAAATCCGAATATGGGAGGAGAACCATGGCATCATTTCAAGGCCCTGAAAGAGGGAAGGAATAATTAACTGTCTAAAGGCGTACAGTTTTGGGGTAGCTCTTTATTATCTGACACAAGCATTGTAGCCCTCTCAAACGTCTGTGACCATGAGGGCTAGAGCCCGCCTCTTAAAACAAGAGCCACTGAAACCAGCGATTCTCTATTCTGCCAACAATGCTAGATTCCCAGTTGCATGTCAGGCTCAGCAGTCACAGCCATGCCCCCTTTTAGAGCCTCTAGGTGCATATACTGTTGGTGGGGAAAACCAATTTTGTGCCCAGCATTCAGCATCCTGAGAATTTCAAGCTTTCATTTAAAAAGCCAAGAGCAGGTTTCTAGACCTTAAGGTTGCACAAACAAAGCAATGGAAGTACACAGGCAATGCCTAGTGAGATCTCACAAGGCAGTGGAGAATGGAGGGGGAGTGTTAGTGGTCAGAGCTTCAGTACCTTGCTTAGCTCTTTGCAGGGCTATTTTTGGGCAGGAACGCACAGGAACAGAGTTCCATCTGGCTTCAGAGCTGGCCACGCCCACTACAGCCAAAACCTCTGTGTGCGTGGCTACAGAGGGAAGGCCTGAAGAGTGACCCCCCCCCCGGCAACTCTGAGGCAGGGGGGCCAGGGGGAGCCCTGGAAGGATCAGGGAAGCATTTAAATGCCTCCTGTGCCTTTCGTGGCCTGTCCAAGGGCTGGCTTGTCTGGGTGCCCTGCAGCTGCGGGGCGCCCGGGCAAGCCAAGGAAAGGCATGGGGATGTGGCCTAATATGCTAATGAGCTGTGTGGTCAGGGGTGTGGCCTAATATGCTAATGAGTTTCTGATGTTGGGTGTGGCCTATTATGCTAATGAGTTCCTACTGGGCTTTTTCTACAAAAAAAAGCCCTGGCTCTTTGCCTCTCTCTGTAGCTAGCAGAAAAAGAATACATTATGAAACCTCACATATGTCATACACGTTGGCAGCTTCCCTAACTAGAAAATTTGTCACTGAGGGCAGGTATTACAAATCAAAGTGAAATAGAAGGGAGCCAAAGACAAGTAGCCTAACATGCTTAAAAGTTAATACAACCTCTCTCTAGGAACACTTAGGCAGACACCCAATAACTCAACAAATCAACTGTATGAAAATGACTATCCTCTACCCCCTCCCAAGTTGTCCTTCCAGCCCCCCGCTTCTCCATCACCATCAATGGCAACAAATTTAACAAATTTAAAAACAACAACAACAACACATTTTAAGAGCCTGACCATATTACCAAAAAGAACAATGAGCAGTTTGATCTCAGGACCCTGGTAAGCTTTGTTGATGAC